AGATAAGATGAGATAAACTGTGTAAATAGATCTACAGTAAGCAATGAGGTTAACATAGAAATTAAAATTGCATAATGATAAAAAACATCTTGTTCCATAAGGATTCAATGAACCAGGTCTTAAAGAACTAACTTGAAAAAAATAGAGGTAAAAATCTTTGAACATATTTAATAATACCAGCATAACCATTATAATAAAACTAAAAGTATTACAAGAAAAATGAAGACCCCCAAACTGCTTCATTAACAAAGATACATAAACACACACACAAAGACACACACACACACACACACACACACACAGTCCTTAAAATGTTTTAGGGTGTTCATTCCAGAAATACATAAAAATAAAATATTTCAAGAAAAATGAAGTTTCAGTGAAATGTTACATTGTTATTTGAAAATCATTGACTATAGTTTAGCAGTTTATAAATGAAAGTTGAGATACTATGATCACACCAGTAAAGTAAAATCATTTGATGAATTTTATTTTCCAGTCATGAGAAACACTACTAGCAGATTAGGAAAGACAATCAAGTCTCTTGTTTTAATGTCTAATGTTATCTGAGGGTTTGTGAGATGAGAATGTAGTGACTATGTTTCTACTTGAATCGGCAGTGCAGCAAAGGATCTCCACTGTAATGAGACTGGTAGACAACAGGTGAGAAGAGGAGGGGACTCCCACTGTTTACTGATGACATCTTTCACATAGAAAACCCTTAATTATTTGCTGATGGAATTAGACTGTTAAGTAAATTTAACAAAGCAATTTGATACAGGCTTGGGAACATTACTGTTTATAACTAGAATTTTTAAATGATCTTGGTTATATTCTGGTCTCTTAATATGACATAAATCATTTGCCTTTTACAATGACCTAACACCCTCCAAAATACAGGTCCTTAGGAATAAATGTAAGCAAATTGGTGTAAGATTCCTGCAGAGAGACCTGTGAAACCTTTCTGAAAGAATCAGAGGCACAGCCAAAGAATGGTGGGCACCATGAATGGGGGAAGGTGCAAAGATGCACTGGTGTCAACAGTTTCAGGGAAATTGACAGTTTGATGCTAAATTTATGTAAAAATACAAAGGGTCAAGAATAATGAAAACTGTCTTGAACAAAAATGCAAAAGTGGAAAATTTAAACTACTAGATACAAAGACCTACCATAAAGCTATAGGAGACGATGTTCAGTGGAGGAAAGAAAGAGCAGCATGGGGTGAAGAGTGCAGAACCCAGACAGAAACACAAAGACATGCCTGTAAACTACCTGATTTATTAACAGGATTGCTGAAATTCCCCTTTAAATAAGTGATACTCAATCAACTAGTATTCATATAGGCAAAATCTGAAAATTGACCTCTGTCATACTATGCAAAAAATTGACACCAAAGGCCTACATCCATAATGGAGGGCAATGTAAGATCAGCAGAGTAAAGTGGAAATTTACCTTGATAACCTTGGGATGAGCAGACAATTTCAACTCATACTCAAATAACTCAAGATATTAAAAAACAGATTCGATGAGCTGGACTTTATTTTAAAAATACAGAGTTCTACAATTTGTTAAGTAAATAAGGGTGTAGGAGTACAGATTGGTTGAAGTGCTTTTCTGTATGCCCCAGGACCTGAGTTTGAGATCTAGAACAGGACGGGCAACAAAGGAGAAAGGAATAGCAGGAGATGAGGATATTAAAATGAAAATGAGAGGTTGAAGAGATGACTCACTAGTTAAGAGCACTTGCTTGTCTTCTACAGGACCTGAGTTCAGTCTCAGCACCTACATCTGGCAGCTCAGCTCATAACTGACTGTTAACTTCAGCTCCATGGGATCTGAAATTCTCCCCTGACTTCTGTGGGCACCTGTGTGCTTGTATCATGCATTTACACACACACACACACACACACACACACACACACACACGTAATAAAAATAAATCTTAAAAATAGAATCAAAGCCTTTTTAAGATAAGCAAAGAAACTAACATATACATACTCATAATAAGCATGAATGCAAAGAACACACAAACATGCACGCACACACACACACACACACACACACACACACACAGGCATACATACAGAGGATACCTAAATTAAGCATAAAAGGAAGCAGAACAGACAGACATCTAGGACAGCACCATTGAAATTACTTTGTTCATTTCCCCCTCATTTCACTTTGCATAGTGGGACAGAATTATGCTTATCATACAGAAGACAGATGTGTAAGTAAGTGGGATGCATTCTTCTGATGCCATATGTATCTACTGAATCATATGTGCAAAGTGGTACCTCAGTTGCAAAACAAACACACACCACAGAGCTCTTTACTGGCACTTCTCTGTTGAAGGCCCATGTTTGTGAAACTCATGTGGAGTCATTCGGAATAATATCATTCCCAGATGGGATCAGTCCTTGTTCTGTTGGCAACTTGGTGCTGGGAGTCACTTAAGTTCTGAGCCTCAGCTTCCCCTCTAGGATGATGACTCAATGATGCTTTTTAAGAGTATGTACAGGAATGAGATAATAAATGCAAAAATACCACAGTTTTATAGGTATAGATGGGGAGATGGGCAGACATTGCTGGAGCTGGACACAATATTTTCATTGTTATATGTATATCACATGCAGGAATGAGTAATAAATGCAAAAATATCACAGAGTTTTATAGGTATACTTGGGGAGATGGACAGACATATTCCTGGAGCTGGAGACAACATCTTCATTGTTATATTTATAACACATGCCACTTAAAGTCACTATTGTCTCCTCTTATTTATTAAGAATTAATGCATGTTTCTAAACCATTATAAATTTGTGCAGATACTTTTGTGTCACCCTGCACACTGGACACAGAATAACTAATATGTCTACAGTGCTCTTATGTGTTATCAATTAGAGGGTTGATGAAAGTGATTACTTTGGGGAACAGAATGAAATAGTCAATACTATCAATCAATGCAGAAGCTGGAGGTATTCTGCAAAGAATCAGGAATTTTCACTGTTGTTAATTTTTTAAGACTTCTTTTGATGTAGACCCTTTCTTGGGTTAATCACAGCAAAGTAAGCCTGGACTCTCAAGACAGTGGAGTGATAAGAAGGAAACAATTCCCCTAACTGTTTCAAGCTAACTCTTGGTATAAACTCCCTGACCTGAGGCTGATCTCCTATGACTTACATGTCTAGTGTCTGCCTAGAATGTTCCTACTCACAATATAGCCTGGAAAATTATTACTCATGTTTTAACATTGCATATTCATTCCATCAAAGCTTCCCGTCTTAGGGTTTCTATTGCGTTGATAAAACACCATGACCAAAAGCAACCTGGGAGAAAAGAGTTTATTTCACTTACACCTCCAAGAAATAGATCATCACTGAGGGAAGACAGGAACCTGGTGACAGGAACTGAAGCAGAGGTCATGATGGGATGCTGCTTACTGGCTTGCTCCTCATGGTTTGCTCAGCCTGCTTTCTTATACCATCTAAGACTACTGCCCAGGGCTGAAACCACTCACATTGAGCTGGGCCCTCCCTCATCAATAATTAATTAAGAAAATGTCCCCATAGACTTATCTATAGGCTAATCTTATGGAGGCATTTTCTCAATTGTGGTTCCCTTGGGTTGGATAACTCTACCTTGTGTCATAAAAAAAAAAAAAAAAACTAATAAGGATGTCTCCTAACATCCATGGAGATCCATGCTGGGCACCAGAGATGAATTCTTCCTTGTGTGTGCATTATCTGTACCAACACCCTAGGAAAACTGGCCTCACTTGTGCCTCCCCCAATTCTCAAGGCTCTGGTGTGCACACATTGTTTGAAAACAACCTTCCCAGCTAGCTGGGGTTCCCTGAGAGAAAGGCCTGCATCTACTCACCTTTCCCCAAGCAATAGGGAAGTCTGACATACAGTGGCACTCAATAAATGTTTGCTGGATGACATTAATTATTCACAGGGCCTTAATACAGTCAGCTCTGTTCAAGGATTCTCTTGATGAATTATTTAGAAATAAAAGCAACTGCATCTAGTTAGAGTCCATCTTTTTGAGACATTCTTTGTTCCTTATACACTATTGTATGGGTGTTTTCTTAACAGCCTCAGGGGCTGCCTCACACTGCTGGTCCTGGTGCTGGTGACTGTGAAAGCATGCAAAAGGTAGGTGAGAGAGAGGATGCCTGCAGGCTGCAGCATGTTCCAGTTTAAAAATCTGAGACTCTTCTGGAGGAGAGCAAATCAGAGCAGGCTTATACACACACACACACACACACACACACACATATATATATATATATAATATATATATATATTCACATGTATGATTTAAATCTGAATTAAACATGCCAGGAGATCTGATATGTTTTCATAATAGTTGACAATATACACCCAGATGGGAACACACTAGGTGATATTCAGAGTTTGAACATTAACACAGAAGTTTAGCACAGCCTACAAATAGGGATCATGTTGGTTACTAAAATACACAATATAGTTGTAAAAGTTTCCTAAAGATCATAAAGCATGCCGAATCCCATTATTTGTGCTGAAGTGGGAGAAGCAGCTGTTCTTGCAGTAACGCTAGGCACATTTTGATGGCTGGCTCAAGGAACATAAATGTCAAGGAGACTTCGGAGATAAGAAGATAAAATCTATATCCATCTGCTTTTTTGAGATAAATAACATGTCTGGCTTTAATGATCTTGCAAAAACAAGTCCATAGGAAGGACCAGGTTGTGGAAACAGAAAGAGTGGGAATGGAGAAAGGTTAGAGGCAGAGAAAGAGTAGGAACAGAGAAAGGGTGTGGATAGAGAGAGTGGGAACAGGGAAAGAGGAGAAACAGGGAAAGAAGGGAATGAAAAGAGTGAGGAAAGAGAATGAAGTGGGAACAGAGAATGAATGGGGATACAGAATGAGTGGGAAGAGGGAAACAGAGAAAGAGTGGGAACAGAGAATGAGTGGGGACAGAAAGGAGGGGACAGGGATAGAGTGGCAACAGTACCTACTTGGTCTGATGTTTCGATCCTTGCAGGTGTGCATGGTACTGTTCTATTGAGTTGAGGGACACACTGCAGATGGTACATCTGTAAGTACGTCTCAGACCTGTGGGTGACAGACAGACATGGTTAGCTACATCCTGCCAACAGTCCGGATGATGACCAAATTTCTGAATATCCACAAAGGCATGTTCTGAGTATCAGAAAAGATATTGGTTCCCCTGTTTCAAGGCCACTCGTGTCCCTCCTTCCAGAGCCTAGAAACCAGACTCAGAAGACATGGGGATGTTCAGGTGTTTATCAGAAGTCTGTCCTATTTATAGATAGGTAAAAACAAATGACTCTGAACACAAGTTAAATGTTTTGGGAATTTTCTATCTCAAGTCAAGAAGTATGCTGCCTTTCCCGCCTAAGTCATATAGACATGTTTTTTTTTTTATCTCTACAGTGAAATAAAAAACAAAAACCAGTCCCATTCCTTTGTCATCTCCCATCCAAACCAGAACTGTAGCGTAACATTAGATGCTATTAACTAGGCTTGATCCTATTAACCTAGGCTTGATCCTAAGATTGTCTTACAAATTGCAAGTAACCAATAGAGATAAAAATGAACCAATCCATTCTCAGGTCTAGCTTCCCATCAGTTAATGCCATCTATGTATTCTCCTGTTTATTCATTTGCCTCATTAATACAGCATCAGCTATGGGCTAGGCACTAGGAATTCCAAAATAGAAAAGACATGTGCTTGGCTTTTAAGGCATATGGGAAAATCATGAGTGTTTCAGAGCACTGACTTATCCAAAGGAAACTTTGTGTTACCAGGCAGCATTATCTACATCACATTAAACCTCCAGCACAGTAGAGACCCACAATGGCACATACTCCTCCTACAGCTGCACTCCTAAGCAGGGAGAGGAAAAGTGAAGCTAACGCTAGCTGAGTCCTACAAGTTACCAGGACACACTAGTCAGTTTGAGACCCTTGCAAGGAAAGATGAGTCTATGCCAGCTTGTATGGTTTCTGTGATGTAACTTGTCATTCCCTATTGCTTCTGAAGCTTCTACACTGTATCCTCAGCTTTGGAGGAACCAGGGAAGACATGGTGAGGAGAAGAAAGAACAAAGTTCTAGAGGGCAACTCAAAGCTCCAGGAAGGCAAAGAAAGAACTCTATCAAATATGCCTTCATGATAAGCCGTGGGGACATCTCTGCCTTAGATACATTAGTGGGTATTTCCTGTGTCTGTAGATGACATTGAAAATTCAGGCCACGAAAGAATGAGCCCCACAGAGGCAATGTGACTGGGAAGCATGGGAAAGTAGAGTTGACTCTAGAGTCTGACTTCAGATGCCTGCAGTTCCACTGATGGAATGGGGTAACATTGCTGTACCTGCTCTGAACATCTGTGATGTGAGCAAAGAGCCAAAGCTCAAAGTGCAGTGACTTGGAGTGTAAGTCTGACCGCAAGCAGCCACCCAGGAAAAACTTCTGTGACAGTGGCCCTCAACCTTCCTAATGTTATCCTCCAATACAGTTTCTTATGTCACAGTGACCCCTGACCATAAAATTAGTTCATTGCTACATCACAACTCTAATTTTGCTACTGTTATGAATCCTAAAGTAAATATCTGATATAAAGGATAGCTGATATGCGACACTGTGCAAGGGTTGTTTGACCCCTGAAAAGGGTTGTGATGTGATCCACAGGTTGAAAAACCACTGTTTTATAAGACCTGTTCAGAGAGCTATGCACAGAATCAAAAGGTGTTTCAAACCAGAACCCCATCCTACCCTATACTCAAAAAACAGCTGGGCATGGCAGCACACACCTTTAATTCCAGCACTTAGGAAGCAAAGACAGGTGGATCTCTGAATTAGAGGCCACCCTGGTCTACAGAGAGAATTCTAGACAGTCAAGGCAACACAGAGAAACCCTGTCTGGAAGACCCCTCCCGAAAATGGACAAACAACAACAAAACTTTACAACTTCCCCATCAGATCACACTTCACATTCTTTGACACTTGACTTAGGTCAGCTAAGGTGGGTCTGAGGAATGAAAACCAAGTTGCTCCATTAAATAGAGCTGAGCTTGCATGGCCTTTCCACTTCAGAAGGATTATCCTGCTCTCCAAACCCAGGGGGCTATAAGTTATCACAGCCAGTATAGAAGTTGTCAGGATGCTTATCCAGGCCTGGTCCATGCTGCTCTTTTATGCATAGAATCAAAATATGAAATCCAGCTTCAGGCAGTAACTCCCTCCGGAGGTCTCCATCAATCTCTTCATAATAAACAGTAACTGCTGTGTGTGAGTCCTCCTTAGAGTTCACACTAATCAAAGGGCTCTTCGTAAAAAATGAAGGTTCAGTTTGGCAATAGGCATAAATATTTATGTTTAAAACTGGGAACTTTTAAGAACATCAACAAATTTAAAAAATATTCTGATCTGCTGGTTTCTGGAAGTATTCCCATGCTCTGCATCCAAACCAAAGCATGGGTTGGGGATGTCTGGTACTTTATTGCAATGTAAGCCTCAGGGGCGTTGAATTGAAAGGCCGTGGGCATAAATAAGAACAAAGGTAGAGGGAGCCTCCCACACACAAGACGTGGTGTCATTCTCAGTGGGAACTTAGGGATTTATTAATACTTAGTTGAAATCCCAACTGCTTTGGAATTATATGGCTCTTTTCCCTCAGGGGAACTAGAGAATCTAATTATTAAATCAAAAATGTCAACTTCCTTACTGAATCCATTTCAGCACAATAACACATTTATGGCATCCTAAAGCCCTGGGAGTCTAGTAGGATGGTGTGGGAGCAAGACAGAGTTTCTCACATGGATGATCCAGTAGGATCGTCTTGAAGACACATCACTTTGTATATATATTTCCCAGCACAGTGTTTATAAAAACAGATGGGTCTGGAGAATTTAGCAGAATGTGACTCCTCAATGTGTCTTCTCAAGTCTAGTAAAACTAGAGTCCATATGACTTCAGCTGCATTCACTGTACATTAGAGGAGTGGCACTGGGCCTGTATTATGGTGACAGGTATTTTGCTGAATGCCCAGGGTATTGGAAATAATAAGACATCGTATGTTTTCTTATGGAGTTATTTGCAGAGAAAGGCAAACAGAGTTAAGGGACCCTGAGGTCTGGGCACAGAGAGTATACCCCTAGTCCTCATTAGGGAAGCTACATTTGCACTGGACAGCAGCAAACAGAGAGTCACAAGTAGTCTAAGTACTGACAGTATGTGATGATGGAATGATCCATTCTAAATATGATTCACCCACTTCCTGCCAAGGCTTAGGAAACATTGTGGAGGAGGGATCGGAAAAGGAATGTACATGATAGAGGTTGGGGAGGACATCTGTAAATCAGTGTCATCTGGACATGACAGGGGGAGCAATCCTGAACTCACAGCAGCTGTGGATCCAGCATGGATGGGGAGCATTCAAGGTCTACCCCTAGATGAGGAGCTATTGGCAGTTAATGCCTGCTGGGGAAGGAAGAATCAGTTTTAATTGGGTATGTGTGTGGCCCCATATTCAAGCCCATGTGGGCTTCACTAATTGGAATCAGTGGGCTCTGTAGGAGGCCTGATAAAACCAGAAGATGGCAACCTATCTACAAACTGATTCTGGGTAAGAAACAGGCTAAGGGAGAGGAGTCAGCATGTGGAGGGCAGAGGAGGAAATGAGCCTGAGTGAAAGGATAATTTTTTAAAAAGGAAAATAAAAGAATTAGAAAAAGCAAAATATCCTTGTCAATTCAGAATTCAGCATCTGTTAGTAAAACATGAAACTCAGGGGAAAGCAAACATATGCTCATAAATAAAACCTAGCCACACAGTATGCCTACAAGTTTGAACTACTACCGTTGTGTGTAGTTCTTAAGGTGCAGGAAAACAAAACAAATGAAAACCCTATACACACCACGTTGAAATTAAGGTCTACAGGCAAAACAATAACATGAACACCAGAATAGATGCATTCAGCTCCAGCCAGATGACACCAGGCTTGACCACCACCATTTGAGGACTCACATGAGGAAAGCAGAGAACAAAGTCCCAAACATTGTCCTCCAACACCACATGTGCATTGCAATGTGCATGTAAGCCTACTCACATACACAATGCATACAGGCACATGTACATACAAATAAGTTTCAAAATATATAAAAAAAGAAACACAAGTTTGCAATCCCACCAGGAATACAGGGGTGTTCCCCTTACTCCACATTCTCTCCAGCATAAGCTGTCATTGGTAGTTTTGATCTTAGCCATTCTGACAGGTATAAGATGGTATCTCAGAGTTGTTTTGATTTGCATTTCCCCAATGGCTAAGGATGTTGATAGATTCCTTAAGTGTCTTTCAGCCATTTTAGATTGTTCTGTTGTAATCTGTACCCCATTTTTTAATTGGATTATTCAGTATTTTGGTGTCTAGTTTCTTGAGTTCTTTGTATATTTTGGAGATCAGCTCTCTGTCATTTGTGGGGTTGGTGAAGATCTTTTCCCATTCTGTAGGCTGTCATTTTGTCTTGTTGACTATGTCCTTTGCTTTACAGAAGCTTCTCAGTTTCAGGAGTTCCCATTTAATAATTGTCTATTTCAGTGTCTTTGCTACTGGTGTTATAGTCAGAAAGTGGTCTCCTGTGCCAATGCATTCAAGGGTATTTCCCACTTTCCCTTCTAAGAGGTTCAGTGTGACTGGATTTATAGTGAAGTCTTTTATCCATTCAGACTTAAATTTTGTGCATAGGGATACATATGGATCCATTTGCAGTCTTCTATATGTCAGCATCCAGTTATGCCATCACCATTGCTGAAGATGCTTTCTGTTTTCCATTGTATATTTTTAGCTTCTTTGTCAAAAATCAGGTGTTCATAGGTGTGTGGATTAATATCAGGGTCTTTGATTCGATCCCATTGGTTCACCTGTCTATTTGTGTGCCAATATCAAGCTGTTTTCATTACTATACCTCTATAGTAGAGCTTGAGTCAGGGATGGCGATCCCTCTGGAAGTTCCTTTATTGTACAGGATTTTTTGACTATCATGGGTTTTTTGTTTTTCCATATGTAGTTAAGTATTGTTCTTTCAAGGT